TGGGCACACGTCTTAAAAAAAATCAAATTTGATTTAAATTGGTTTTGACATTCATTTTGAAATTAATTTTACACAACTTCACAGCTACAGTAATTTGTGACAACTGCAGTACCTCTAAGGCATAGGTACTGCAGTTGTCACACATAGCTGAGGCACACATCTCCACAATAACTGTAGAATGCCAGAGGCGTCAGCACAGTGAGGGAAGAGCTTTTTATTTTTTAACAAAAGAGCCTGAATGAAGAAACAGGAGATATACATGAAATTAGGGGAGTTCAATTACCCCAACCACCTCTCCATAGCTCTGGTTCAAAAAAGGATTCCTATCTAGGATAACACTTATGTGGGTGTTTAAATCCAACTGACATGCTTCTGCAAGTGTCCTTGTGATACGGGTAAGCCATTGAATTGTTCAGAACAATCTTTACAATTTCTCAACAAGGGCCTGATCCAACTCTCATTGAAATCAATAGACTCCTATTTGTTTCAATGGGAGCTGGATCAGACTCCAGGAGCTGTTCGGTGCTAAGGAAACTCGCATCTTTCATTTTTACAAAAAAAAAAAAAACAAATTTCCTTCAGCAGCGCCCATAAATATAATTGTACTGAATGTTTAAACTCAAACTCCAAAACTACACTGTTCCTATTACAAAGTTCCCACCTGAAGGCTATGAAACAAGACCATCCAACAGCATTTGTGACATATGCCCACATTACCCAAAGCATATATATTAGCCTTTGTCTGCACTCTGAATCTACCCTTCTCCAAAGTAATCTAGACTAGATTCTTGGGATCTAGATTCTCCCCAAAGCAATAGAGAAAACATTGCTATACTTCACAGTGTTGTTGTAACTGTGTTGACCCTAAAACTAGTTCATAAAGGGGGAAACTCTGAAGATAGGAGATTTGCATAAGACAGATGTATAAATCTCTCTTGAGAAACAGCCAGGTAGTATTACAGATAGGATAACGTGTAAATCTCTCTCGAGAAATAGCCATGTGGTATTATAAATAGGATAATTCCTCAGTGGAGAAGGTAATTTATGAAAATAAGAGAAAGGACACCAATAAGCCAAAGGAAAAGACCAAACATCTCTAAAGGTCATCACAACAGGAAACATAATTAGGCTTGGAAAAACAGAAACAAAATTAACAGCCCTTTGTAAATGATCAGTAATGAAGATAAAAACCTGAAAGACAACATCCTGATTTTGTCTTGATTTTAGCACAATCAATCAAACAAATAATAATTCTTTGCAATTCTAGGAACCTTTCATCCACAGATCTCTAGGTGCCTTATAAACATTAATTAATACAATGTAAGTATATAGGTAAGTATTATCATCCACATTGAATAGACAGGTACACTGAAGAACATCGAGGTTAAGTGTCTTCCCAAGGACACACTTCCACCAGATTATTTCATAAAATATACTTATCCAATGCTCTGAGTGTCAACGATTTACATTATACTCACACAGTACATCTATATAGTTTACCCATTGCAACAACAACATTGTTCTTATTCTAAAATGTAAGATCTTCCATCCTAACCTGAAAATCTCCTAATCAACCCTTTCTCTCTGAAAAATTCTTGGATAAACAAATAGGCTTTGCACCATGCTTGAAAGTCAACAAACTCTGGCTCCATTACACCATGGGGTTACAGGAAGAAAGCTCAAGAGCTCAGAGGTCTGGCCCCTACAAACACTCTCTCAGCGTATTCTCTCCCTCTCCATCTCTCTTCCAAGTCATATCTCCTGTCATTCTCAAACCATTTTCCTCTCTCTATTCTCATCCCAACCTTCAAACTACTATTCTGTTGTCTCAAACTTAAGTGCCAGTGAAAACATAATTTCTGAAGTGTTTCAGAAAATTTTGGCCTCAGTTGTCCCATCAGGCCCGGCTCTAGGATTTTTGCCGCCCAAAGCAAAACCAATTTTGGCCGCCCCCCCTCCCCCGTTTTTTAATTACCCCACCCCCGGCCCCGCCTCAACTCCGCCCCTTCCCCAAATCCCCAGCCCTGCCTCCTCCCCCCAGGCTCTCAAGCCTAGGAGGGAGGGGGAGAAGCGGCGCCCGCGCCGCGGCCACTCGGAGTCTCCCCCTCCCTCCCAGGCTCTCAAGCCTGGGTGAGAGGGAGGGAGGGGGAGCAGTGGCGCGCGAAACAGCTGTTTCGCACGCCGCGGCCGCTCGGGATCTCCCCCTCCCTCCCAGGTTTGAGAGCCTGGGAGGGAGGGCAAGTAGCGGTGTGCGAGCGGCAGCAGCAGCGGAGGTGAGCTAGGGCGGCCGGGGCACATTTTTAGGGGCGGCATTCTGGTGCCGGCCATGCCGCCCCTAAAAATGTGCCGCCCCAAGCACCAGCTTGTTTTGTTGGTGCCTAGAGCCGGCCCTGTGTCCCATCCATTTTGAGGCACGTGCTACAAAGAAAAGACTGTTGGCCATGCTCGACAAGACTGTTGGCCACATATGCAGCAGAGGGCAATAGGAATAGAACAAAGGATACACACAGTCCTAGTGCAGTAGATGAAAATAAGTCATGACACTGGAAAATGGAGGTGTGTCTAAATGAAAAGAACTTGTGCTCTCCAGATGCCTGATTTGGCTCTGAAATGATTCCAACTCTTCCTGCTTATTCTCGAATTGAAGGGACACAAACTGGCTGCAGGGGAAGGGAAGTGAGGCACACAGGAGAGTAGGCCAGGACTGGAAGAAGACGTTTCTAGCAGATGGGGTCAGGACTAGTCAGGACTTAATGAAGATAAGATTCCAAAACTGGCCTCAACACAAGAAACACTCCCTTTCTCCTCAGAGCTCACAGTGACTACCTCTTAATCCTTAGAAATTAACTAGTGTCCAAGGTGTTAAACATTTAGGAATTAGCCAGTTTATTGGTGGTAAACTAAAGCCCTTTCTTCCCATCTTTTGTGGATGTCCAGCTGAAATCAAAGATGTCATGGCACATTTCAAAAGTCACAGGGGATAATCCAGATCTTCTGTCCAACAGTGCGTTTATTCTCTCAGTAATACAGGGGAGTGTGTGTGTGTGTGTACATGTACAACTGTTGAACACATAACTGTCATGCTATCCTACACAGTCAGTCACTGTTATATGTAATTCATTATTGGAAAATGCTTTTGAATACCGTGAGCACGTAAGAGCCTAAACAGAGCCAAATTGTATTTCAGTTCAAAAATGCAGTATGAACTCACCAGATCTCCTAGCTGAAAGAGATGTATTAAACAGTGAAAGCAGACAAAGCCGTACTCAGTCTGAATGATCTGAGCTTTCCTGTCCACAACAAAATGATGAACAGGTGTGTTTTTTAAATCAATGTATAATCTTGAAAACCACCTTGAGAATAAGGTTTGTATTCGACAGTGCCAAGTAATGATCCAAATTATAGTAAAATGCACAGTGCGTATCTATTCCTGCTGAAGTAGGTGTACTTTACATTGTATCTTAGCTCTTCTGAAAAATTAAATTCTTTGTAAATACTAACACTCAATTAATTGAGATGGGGGAACTTAGTTGTAGCAAATTCATCAAACCATAGTTAACAGATTGGCCAAATCCTCGCTCCAAAACACCCTTATATCTTGAAGTTCAGATCCAGACTTCACGGCTTGTTGGGCTATAAAGGCGCAAATCAAAACTGTGGCTTGGTTTTGGGACTGGGGATTGGAAATCTTGGAGCTTGATCTAGAATAGTAACATGCATCCAGCTTGATGGGTTGTTAGCAGAAAACCCAGACACAATTGCTATATTGTGAAAAAGTAAAGGATGAGAATAATCCCTGTATCATGCAAATTGTCTGCAAGGAAAATAAAAAAGGTAAACATTTAGTGGAAAAGTATTCATGAGAGAGACAAAAGATTTGGACAGCATTGAGCCTACTGCTATGAACATGCCATCTGTCTGGTTTGGGATAGATGCTTATTTTCCTGTAGCTTTTGCTGGCATTTAGCTATACTGTTTTGCAACTTCATTTCCTTCTCTATCAAGCATTCAGTATGCATCTGAGACACTGGTTGCTAAGGAATTTGATATTTATACTCCTTTGCTTTTCCACCACAAGGCTGTAACCCTGAAAGTACTAGATGAATATGATGAACTGATGGATTGTAACGTGTAGGGAATAAAGTCTTTTCGCTCATATCACACCTTGAAATACAACTGATGCAGTTTTTAAAATCATGATCTTCTCTGTCTGCCTTGCACGGAATGTTAGTAAAGTTGGTAAATTACATATATTTTAACAATTTGCTAGATGCAGAATCTCTTTCAGATTTTTGCCATATAAGGTACAAAATATATTTACCACTCCTAAAAAAGGTCACTAATAGTTTTCAGTAAACTATTCTAAAAGCAAATCCAAGCTTCATGCTTCTGAATACACAACCATTTAGTCTAATTTGCTACCATAGCTCAGAATTAAAGAACAAATTGTCCTGAGCACAAATTACCATGCCTGCTTGTTTGATGTGTACCTTTAACAAATTAATGATGGTATCCTCCCTTCTTTTTCTGATGTATAGTACCTGCTGATAATAGCTTCTTCCGCCACCAGAGGGGCCAATTAGAGAGGCTACTAAATAATTCATCAAGACATGGATTTGTGCAAAAATATAGTGCAAACATAACTTGCAGGTTTCATACCAAAAGTAAAAATTAAAGGAACCCCATGTAAAATTTACTGTACTATTTCATGAGCAACCTTCTAACAAAAATGCTCAACGTTATTTTATTGAGATTTATTGCAAATCTTGAATCTAATTTACTCAGATTATGAACTTTTCCCAGATTATGAGCGCACACAACACACACCAACAAAACACAGCAGTACATGGCTAGTTCTGACCCTGTGTATGAAAAAATGCTATACAGTGGCTATCAAATAGCACTGTACCTCACCCACCATTGTGTAGGGCTGGGAAGGAGGGGCGTTTAGAAAATAAAAGATATTCTTTTCTTTAATTAATGAAAAAAAAGATGCACACCTTACTCTTTTCTTGTTGGAGCTCTATTTGAATGTCTGTGAGTTTTGTCCTGAGCTCTTCATTGGCAGCTTGTAAGGCAGCTAAGGCATCAGGTTTTTCTCCCTTAGCTCGGCTGCTAGCACTCTTCTTTGACATTGTGAGGCAGCGTGACAGGGAGGGTGAAATCCCAAGCAGAGAGAACCCTCCGTTCCACCACTTGAGGTTTCTCTTCCTTGCTTCTGTCCACTACATTTTCTTATTCACCTAGAAAGAGGGAAATCACAACTGCCGTGAAAGTGCCAGAGTTTAGCGGGCTCCACAATTAGCAAATAAGACTAATGCAACATTCATTGTAGTGACTTCAGACAAGATTTCAAAGCAGTTCATGAGAAGTTAATTCAGAGTAATAAAATCTGTCACAGTGACTAATGGCCTGCAATTTTCCCCTAGTGTATCAACTTACACAGCTCAGTAAGATTATGATAAACAACTGCCAACAAAATTTTTAATTTTCATGTATTTATGAGGATGAATTAAGTTTCAAATAACAGACTACAACAATGATATTATAAAGACAGGCAGTGCCTTGGAGAGTCCCCTTAAAGGTAATATAGACTGTATGTTAAACTATAGAAGAAGAGACCTGAAGACAAGCTCTCTGTAAGCTCGAAAGCTTGTCTCTCTCACCAACAGAAGTTGGTCCAGTAAAAGATATTACCTCACCCACCTTGTCTCTCCACTACTTTAATGTCACCCACTGGCAGTAGTGTGGCACAAGATTGTTCCATAATAAAACTTCTAAATTGGGGAAAGCATAATTAAGGATACACAGAATGTACAATAGAGTATGTGCAGAAATTAGGATGCCAAATTATCAATGAAAATAAAAGATCTTATAAGTCAATACTCTTGAGGTAAGGTGAGTAGAGTTATTGAGAATAACAGTTACCACCCACTTTTTTTTTTTTTTTTTTTTTTTTTTTTTGGATGTTGAACGCGTTCTGCGTATCAAAGGTTTGGTAGGATTATTTCTTTTCTATGTTCCTGGCAAAGAAAAATAAAGCTAAAATAAACATATTTGTCAAACTGGATGAAATTCACCCCGTGCAGAAAGGTACAGCATAAAGCCTATCTACAATACCCTCGTTTGGGGGCTGACATCAAGCTTACATGATGAATAAGACTTGTGCTTTCTGTACGAAGGGAAATTTTACCCAAGGAGAGCAGTTATTAGGATTTGTCTGTATGTGATCCAATTTCACACAACTCTTAGTTTACAGACAGTCCATGAAAATTATTTGTCTAGCCATGGGCAGGGCCGGCTCCAGGGTTTTGGCCGCCCCAAGCAGCCCCAAAAAAAAAAAAGCCACGATCGCAATTGCGATCTGCGGCGGCAATTCGGCGAGAGGTCCTTCGCTCTGAGCGGGAGTGAGGGACCGTCCGCCGAATTGCCGCCGAATAGCTGGACCTGCCGCCCCTCTCCGGAGCGGCCGCCCCAAGCACCTGCTTGCCAGGCTGGTGCCTGGAGCCGGCCCTGGCCATGGGAACAAAACTCTGTGCTACACAAGTTATCAACAAGTCACTCAAAGTGCCTCATTTCTTCCCCATGATCTATAATTACAGTTCTATTTTTCAGTAGATTGAGCATATGTCATTTCATAACAACAAAAAGTTGTCAGGAAAGACTATTCAGAATGTTAAACTCAATCCACTCATGGTCTTTTCTAGGTCAGGAGGATGTGGACACATTGTGTGATCTTATAAGTCAATGCCCCTGTTTGTCTATTTCTTCTTTCACTCAAGGTAAAATTTTCTGAAGCTGCTGTTTTTAAAACAAAAGTATCTTGTTAAAACACTATAGTGATTCCACATTTATGTGCGAACTAAAGTTTACTAATTATCCTGACTGCTGCCAAGGTTTCCTTTTATTCCTCTTTCACTCTGCTGCTTAGATGTGAGAATCATGTCTGAATATTGCCAAATCCCCATTGTACTTCATGTCTCTTGCCACTTTAATAGAGCTGGGCAGGAATCGTTTGTTTTCATCCCAGGAGAGTTTTTGAGATTCAAAAATGTTTTTTCATCTTGAAACAGAACAAAAAGTCAAAAATCTCAAATATTCCCACAAAATGAAAATCAGAAGATAATAAACATTTTGGAGCAGGTCAGGCAAAATGTTTGATAAGTTCAAAACATTGTATTTGGATTCTGACCTTTTAAAATGTAACCCTTTTTTTGGTATAAATTAATTAAAATTTCACAATGAAAAGTTGTTTTGAATCAAAGTTGTTTTCTCTAGCAGCATGGTCAGCAACAACAACAGATATTATATGGCTGTAACTTTCAGTCTCATTAGGACAAGGTCAGAGGACCCCACACCCCAGAATGGGTGGGGCTGGGTTAGAAAGTCCTGCCCTGAAGAACGTGAGGCCCACTGTAATAGCTGATAGGTTGGGCCCTACCAAATTCTTGGCCATGAAAAATGCATCACAAACTGTGAAATCTGGTCCCCCCCCATGAAATCTGGTCTTTTGTGTGCTTTTACTATATACTATACAGATTTCACAGGGATCCTGACCCAAAAGTCACCAAAAGCCTAAGCTGATTGGCGCCGCAAGCCTGGGAGGCGGGAGAAGTGAAGCAGCCACGGCGTGCTCGGGGAGGAGGCGGGGCAGGGGTGAGCTGGGGCGGGGAGTTCCCCTGTGTGCCACCCCCCCCCTTGCTGCAGGCTGCCCTCCCCGCGCTCCACTGCCCCAGCTCCCTCCGCCTAAATGCCGGCGGCGACCAGGGCGGCCGAAGATCCGGCCGCCACGGGCACTGCCAAAGAAAATGGCACCCCCCAAATCCTAGCTCCCTTGCGACCCCACTCCCCACATTTCCTTTTTGGTTGAGGATGCCTACAATTACAACACTGTGAAATTTCAGATTTAAATAGCGGAAATCATGAAATGTATGATTTTAAAAATCCTATGCCTTGAAATTGACCAAAATAGAGCGTGAATTTGGTAGGGCCCTATAGATAGGTTTGCAGCAGAATGCCAACAACCTGGCAGCAAGCAATTTATTACTGAGTGTTAGTGGTTCAACTTGATCTCTATGGGAGAATGTTAATGACAGAGAGATCAAGATAGCGTGTTAAAGAGAAGAAATGGATGCTCCTTCCTGCACTCTCTTTGGACTATGGGTGAGGAAGCCCATTTCCTTCTTTCTTTAAAGGTGAACCACAACACATACACAAAGCAATAACCATCATCTACCTTTACTGCTCCTTTATACATAAAGATGACAAAGATTTCTTTAAATTGTTTTTCTTCTTTATAATAGAAATATCAATAATTTTATTTCCTGATTTCCTTATTTTCCCCTGAAGGACTTCAAAAAATCTTAGAAATCTGAATAATGACATCTTGTTTCCAGGCTGAAACCTGAGCTGCAGCTCGTCCAGACTTCTACCTGGGATGTAGAAGAAAGATTCAACATTCTCTCTCAACTCTCTTGGAAGGCAAGGACTTTTCAATTACAATGTTCCATTATTTCCAATATTTCTATGGGGAAAACACAAACCGATTTTTTGAAAAGCTTTCTGGGGAGATCTTTATACATCATAAAGTCACAATAAAGGGCAGAAACAAAGACTGCTTTTGTTTTGTTTGTAGTTCAGCTTTAGGGCCCCACTCCTGCAAATAGTTATATGTACTTAACTTTAAACATGTGAGTAGTCCAACTGATTTGAATGGAACAACTCATCTGCTTAAAGTTAATCACATGTAATTGTTTGCAGGATCTTTCAACTCATTGCACATGGGTTAATAGGACTGGCAAGGAGACTGGGTTTAGGAGATTGTGAGAGCAGAAAAGGCTTGGGGGCAGGACTGGGAGCTACTGGAAGCAGAGGAAAATAGCTTGGACAAAGAATGGTGTGTATACAGACTGGACTGACTGGAAAGAGAGACTGGAACTTGGAGGGAGATGTGGAAGGCTGTGGAAAAAATAGCATGTGATCATGTAATTAAAGACTGCATATGCACTAGAGAGCAGAATTAAGATTGTACGAGCAACCTTAATTATGGCGTTTCCTAACTTTTGAGTACTTGACTCTGCAACCTTAAAGTTCTTTTAATATATTTTTTTGTTGAATACAATTTACAGAAAAAGCAAACAAAAGCTGCTGATATTATAAGCAAATTCTACAGTTCGATAAACCTAGCCTTCTTTAGTATTCAGAATATTTGCTTCTTTCATTAATGAGATCTATTACTGTAGTGATTGTCACATGTCAGAGGATTTTCACTATGAAAAACTTCAGTTCATATAGACCAAAACTGGAACAGTCTGTAGCCACAGGCACTGAATTCTACTGTAATAACAAAATATTCATGCATATTACTGTTATTTTCTTAAGCCATATGTTGCAAAGATGGACACAGTAGGTGTGGTCAGGGGTTGTTTTACATCCTGAGCAGATTAGAGGCATATAAAACAAACTTATAGCAGTTTAAATTTGAATATCAGATACGTAACAATCTGAAGAAAACTGGTATTTACGAGATTAGTTTTATTCAGCTGGGTTTATTTTTCTGACAGACTGTGAAAGACTCAATTTTTTTAAATTGGGTACTGGATACAAAATCAAATAATTGATACAATGAGCTAAACATAAAAGTACTGCAAACTGTATGTTACTAGGAGCACTACGGACTAACCTAACAGCTGTGGGATACTATAGGTGATGATGGGGGCTATGTAGCCAAACCCATTCCACAATCAGTACATCGGAGTGAATAGTTAATCTATGTAGCAGCACAGCTACCAGCCCCATCTCACAAAACCCTGTCAGTTTTGAACCCAAAGAGCTGCTGCTAAGTGTTGCAAAGGGAGCCCCTGTGAAGTTGGGCTTCATGTCACACAGGGGAGTACATCCCTGTACAGGCTTTCAAATTCCAGCCTCTCTCCTGTGCAAAAGAGAGCTAATGATTCTTAAATAAACATCGTTTTTTTGTAACCAAATATATGGTAGCACCCCCTGTTGTTAAGACTGCCTGATACGTCTCATTATAAGACCTTTTTTCGGTTGCTTATAATTTTGCCAAAAGTTAACCCATTTGGGCTGAAAATTTCCATAGTACGTGTCTGTCTCAGGCTGATTATTTGTTTAT